CGAATTTCAACTTTTGCTGTGAATCGACTGAAACTCTTGGTATTCTTTAGCCGAACAGCTGTAATATAATGGCACCAACTATGGCTACAGTACAAGGCAGCTCGACATGCGAATTGGTAGTGATTTTTGGCGTCCATTTGTAAGGTGTATGAACAGGCGTCGGCTACAAAGTTTGACTGATCACGTCAAGTGTAAGACACCAATGTGTCTTGAGGTGATCAGTCAAACGCTACTTGAACTACTCCGAGTGTGCAAGACACATTGGTGTCTTACACTTGAGTACTACTCCGAGTAGTTCAAGTAGCCTACGGACGACGCAACTCGGAAGAACAAGACGGGCGATACAAAGAAAAGAGGACTCAATGACCCGTGATTCACATTCATTTTAGTGTTATTTTTCAATATATTGCAGCTAATCGGGTGTATTTTTTGTACAGGCACCACTCGTTGCTGCTGTCTGTCTTGACATTGACTGTAACGGTAGCAAGTGATTAGTTTGTCGTTCAACTACTTACTACGAAAATGTATACTATACTAAATAAACTACATCAAGTAAGTGTTTTTTTCTACGACTTCTTCAACGGCCTTTGCTGTCAATGGTGCGCCAATCTTTAGCTTATTCGACAGCCTTGCCCTCGTTTTGTTAACGATGTGTTAAGCTGTATTCTTGGTCGGCAGCTTGGATTCTTGTACGCAGGTCTTCAGTAATCGTTTGAAATGGCGTCCTTGATGCTGCGCTCAAGCTCCCAAGTTGCTTCGTGCTCGGGCAAACCATGCCACTGGACCAAGTACTCTTTCTTCCGATTGAACTCTCTTTGCTTCAACAGCGCTTCAACGATGTGCAGTTTATTTCCCGCGTCGTGGTGAATGATAGGAGTTGTCTTCCTTGAAATCGTTCTGGGTTTTGAACATGATGCTTCAAGCGATCCACATTTAAGACATCATGAAGCCTGCTCATGCTTCATGGCAACTTCAACCGCATCGCATTGGCGTTCACAACTCCTTGTATCTTGAACGACCCAATGAATCGAGGCACGAGCTTCGCCTTTTCATTCTTGTTTTTGACTTGAGCGTGCTTCAACGGTATGTTTCGTGGCACCAGCATCACATAATCGCCTTCCTTAAACTCTACCAACGATCGCTTCTTGTCGTAGTAGTTCTACTGTCGAGCTTGTGCTTTCTGGAGGTTGTCACGTGTCATGCGTTCCTTGCAGTGTTCCGCAAAGTTCTTTACATACTCGTTTAGTGCCTCGATCGCGTTCAGAGCTGGGTTGCGTAACATTCTTCCCGTATCCACTTCAAATGGTATTAACCCCGTTGACGTCTGAACTAGGCCTTGATTTTCCAAGATGTTCTGACCAGTCGTGACCCAAGTATGAGACTTGACATCTCAAAGCATCTTCGATGGTCCGATGTTGTCGTTCGGTGGCTCCATCACTTTGCGCTCGACCCCCCGTCGTCATGCAATGATTAACGCTTGCCAAAATTCACTCGTGAACTTGGAATGATGACAACTGCTGGTAAACCATGGTATCGCACGACTGCATCGAAGAACTCCTTCGCTGCTTGGAGAGCATCGACGTTTGACGTTGTCGCACAGTATGTAGGACGCTTTGACGTTTTGTCAACGCACGTCATGATTGCATCCTTTCCGTTCGAGACCGGTAAACCAGTAATCCAGTCCATCGAAACTGTGTGCCAACGTTCCTCAGGCGATCGGAATCATTCTTCATTCGCCTTGGCTGCTTGACTTGTATCGCGCACAAGTTTCACACGCCGCAAAATAGAGTTTGACGTCTGCTTCAAGACCGCTCCAATAATACCATTGTTCATTGTGCAATTGCGTTCGCCGTACGCCGAGATGAGCCGTGGTGCTTGTGTCATGACTCTGCGAAATGATCTCGCCCTTGATATAGTCGTCGTTTGGAACGCACAACTTCCACACTTGATCCATCGACTTCACGAAGAAGAGTCCACCTGTCTTCGTTCTTAAACTCCTTCGTCTTGGCGTATGCTCGCACAAAACGTTGCTTCAAGTTGTCTTCCATCTTGATCCATGAATACGAAAATTTCTCTGCGTGGTTGATGACGAGTTGATGCGGAACTTCGACTTCGACATTCGACACATCCACCTCATTCCCCCGAGAAGGCAGGTTCATCATCAATTCCAAAGTGCGAATGTTCAAGCACTTGATGTCACGCACTCGATCGCTCCATTCGGGTAACACAACGATAACGGTCGTAACACGTAGTGTCACACTGCACAGCGCAAGTACTCGCTTGCATGATATTGCGTGGTGGACGAATGTTCAAGCACTTGATGTCACGCACTCGATCGCTCCATTCGGGTAACACAACGATAACGGTCGTAACACGTAGTGTCACACTGCACAGCGCAAGTACTCGCTTGCATGATATTGCGTGGTGGACGAATGTTCAAGCACTTGATGTCACGCACTCGATCGCTCCATTCGGGTAACACAACGATAACGGTCGTAACACGTAGTGTCACACTGCACAGCGCAAGTACTCGCTTGCATGATATTGCGTGGTGGACGCGACAATATATCCGCAACAACGTTTGTTTTGCCAGGACGATGGTGCAACGTGAAGTCAAAACTGCTGAAGAAATCCAACCAGCGTGTTAACTTAGCTGTTAAAACTGGAGTCTTCAATAACTACTGGCAAGTCGCGTTGTCCGTGAAGACATTAAAGTGTGACTCATAGACGTAGTGTCTCCACTTGGCTAGTCCCAACTTGATTGCATACAATTCTTTCTCATGCGATGGCCAATTGCACTCGGTGTCACTTAGCTTCTTCGACAAAAATGCAACCGGTCGGTCTTCTTCGTTCACATTCAGTTACGATAACACCGCTCCACAACAATAAACCGAGGCGTCCATTGTGATCATAAATGGCTGGTCAAAGTCCGGTAACTGCAACACTGGAGTTTGTTGCAACGCAGCCTTGAGGACCAAAAACGTTTTGTTGTGTCGGTCCATCCATTCCCATGGAACCTTGTCCTTCGCGAGCTCGCTGATCGGTAGTATCAATTTGGATATAGTCGCAATGATTTGCGGTAGTACCCCTCCATACCAAGGAAACTTAAGAGCTCCTTGTGATTAGTAGGCGCTGCCAACTCTTCGATCGCTCGAACTTTGCTCGAATCGACTTGCAATCCATCACCAGAGATGGTGTGCCCCAGGAAGTTCACTTTATCGACTGCAAACACGCACTTGTTGAGTCGCGCATACAACTTTTCCTTGCACAAACTTCCAGGACAACTCGCACATGTTCGACATGTTCAGTCCATGGTCTTCGAGTAGACACAAATGTCATCCAGGTAGACAACAACGAATGGAAACTTGTCGAACAATGGAGGACTCCCAAAACCTACACAAATTACTTGCCCATCGTAAATTCAATCCGGATAACAACTGTATTTTAATTGTCATGTTCGCTCGTTTGGTCGAAACCATTGATAAAGTGCCACCAAAACCTCCCCAATTAGTAAAATTAGGCAATTTCTATTGGATGAAAATAACATTTACAACAACTTAATTGGTGAAATAAGTCCAATGGCCATAATAACAACAACCTCCACGTTCATGTAGCTCGCTTTAGTTCTGGTGGCTTCTCGGTGGCAACGACTTCGACGCTCATGACAGCGCTGAGGGTCCGACGACAACTCAAAGTGCGCAACTGCATCAAGGCTATTTCCCTGCTCAAAGACCAGGAACACTCTCCTTGGTATACGAGGTAACAAGCAAGAAATACTGAGTCGTTCATACCAACGGTCTCGGTGACACCCGACGCCTTTGACCACATCTTGGCTCACTTCAAACATGAGTACGTTGTATTATCGAGGCCCAGTCGCAGTGGACGCCCCTCACGAATTCCTAAAAAGCACGCCGTCCTCGCCATGTTGTAGCATTACTACACTGCAGCTGTGGAAGGCAAGACCATGCAAGAATTGTTCAGCCTGACACCAAGCACGTTTGCACGAGTACTCGGGCGCGCCGAGGACGCCTTGTGGCGAACGTTAAAGAGCATCCCCGACGCATCAATCCGTTGGCCATCGAAATTCAAACAAGCGTACTGGGCGTCCAAGTCGAATGCTCGGGAACCCCTCGTGCATGGTGTTTTCGCGTTTGTTGATGGAAAGAACTTGCGAGTACAAGAACCTTCGAATGCTGACCTCCAAAATGCGCACTACAATGGTATGTTTCTGTCCGAACTTGACTCATTAAATGTTATAGGGTGGCTGCATTGTGTTTTCGTCACTGGTGTCGTGTGCTACGGACTCGGCGGCACGTTGATTTGGGGGAGCCATAACTGTCCCGGGTCGTGGAACGATGGTGAGATGAGCCGACGTCTACAGGACATCTTGTCCGACGACTCGAAGGTTGGTCCTGGTATGTGCATTGCATCCGACTCGGCCTTTCCAGTCGGGGGGGCGTTGTGCCGGTAGAATTATCACTCCCCTGAAGGACGGAGACCTTGAGCGGCAGCCCCCAGAGTGCCGCCTAGCGCTACAAACGATGAGCGATTGTATCACGTCCTTGCGACAAGCAGCAGAGTGGGGGATGGGCTCGGCGACCAAGGTGTATCGCCAATTGTTGCTGCCACTTCCATAAAACCCAACGTTGCGTGGAATGCGGCTCGATAACATCTTTCGACTCTACAACTATCGTGTTCGTCGTTGCGGTATAAGTCAAATCAAGAACGTGTTTGGTGTATAGTTCATTTTAAAAAATGTGCAATTTAAGTTCTGAAATAACTCCTAAGTGTAGCCTAGCTGTGCCGATTTTCAATTTCATAGGGGGTTGTAAGCAACGTGAAAGATTAAACTGATAGTCCAACCAAGTATGAATTAAATGTGGTAATATTACTTCATAGAGATTCTTCTTTTTTCGCCGTAATCGCTTAATTCAGTACTAAAAGTAATAAAAATCCTAATTCATGAATAAAATTTCTATTGCCTCCAGTACTTTACTTCAAAATAAGCAAAGTAATTGATTAGCAATGACGTTCTTACATCAAGTATGTTAGTGTCCTCTATTTGAAAATATCATCAGCTGCAGTTGCTCTCGACGATCTTCGCGCTCTTGACGGTCGGCTTCTGATTTGGTTTCACGTGCAACCTGTTCTCGACGCCAAGCATCATCACGCTCCAATCGCAGTTCTTCACGTTTTGCTGCACGCTTATCCATGGCAACCATCATAGACATAAAGTCCATTGTTGCCTTGCTGCTGCGTTGTCAATAACCTTGTCGATCGACAACCTTTTCTTCGCAACGTATGACAACTGCCCCGTGCTATCACATGCTCGGCTAGCCTTCAGCGAAATCCCAAGTTTGGCCAACGCAGTTCGATTTGTGTAGACTTTGAAAGTGAATATGTGGGACCCGAAAAGTTCGGCTTTTCGGGTACCACATATTACTTTCAAAGTCTACACAAGTATCTTAATCCACCGTGTGAATACAAATCATACATATACCATTCCTGCCAACTTCGTCGTCCTCTTCACAATCGTCCTCGAGTGCCAGAACGTCTGCTTTGTTGTCGATGTCACGGACAATCCACTTTGCTCTCCGAACATCCATCGGGCACTCCGGGTCGCCTGTTGGCTTCGGATTGTTGCGTAGCTGTTGATATTTACGCTTCAATGATTCCGCATCACGATGCGGAAAGCCGCTTGCCGCTGTGTTGAACTCAATTTCTACCTTTCTCCATGCGTTTTTGCCCATCGGTATTATCGATTCGACTTTGTCCAGCATGAGATCTACTGACGCGACGCACCAATTCTTCCCGCGCCGCTTGCTGGACTTGGACATGGTAAGATTATCAATGAAAGGACTGGTAGAGCAGTCGACTCGTCGATCTGCTTCGGAAGTTACTTCTGATTGGGCTTGTCCAATCGTCTTAATTGTACTTCAAAAAATTGTACAAATTATTAGAGATTAATTGTGTCGGGTTTGGCATAAACCCATTGCTTTGCGGGGACCAAAATATCGTCTGATCTTATTGTGAACGACTCGACACAAATTTTTATTTGAAAAATGTCTCAATATTTAGTCCACACAAATTTGTTTGTGTAGGTTTTGGAAGTCCCCCAATGATCGCATCAGTCGCGACCATATCCCCGGCATACCCGCCATGCCCATCGGCGCAACGCAACATTGCAAGAGTTCTTGTGCGTTCGAAATGCCGTGTACTTGCGAGCATGTGGGAGCACAAGCATTTGATGGTACCCCGATGCAAGATCAAGCTTCGAGAATATCTTGCATCCATGCTTCTTGTTGAAGATGCCCTCAATGTTGGGTAGAGGTATCTTGGGGATTTCAGACTGGGAGTTAACATGCCGGTAGTCGAGCACCCATCGAATTGGAGTGTTCGCGGTTGCTGTCTTCAACCACACGTGACGAGATGGCATTTTACCGTTCTCATCCTTCTTTGGTACTCCAAGGATGTTCGACACCCAATCACTCGTTGACAACTGAACCCATCCTTTGGCTTTGAGCTTGTTGACAAACTTGTCCAACGACTCTTGCTCCACTTTCGCCAGTCGAAATGGTGCACGATGCTGTGGCTTCGCATCTGGCTTCATCGTGACGTCAAACTGAACCGCTAGTTCCGGTGGCAGTTCATCCGGTGGTTCCTTCGGAAAGACGTCCTTGAACTCATCGAGAAGAGTCTCGATCTCGGCTGGTCGTTGCTGTGTTTGTGCTTGGACTTCACAAACCTCGACTATCCATCCAGTCGATTCCGTCGACATCGCATTGGCTTCGACTTCTTCCTCGATTGAAGTGATTTCACGCTTGCGCCAATCGATAACTGGATTGTGCTTCGCAAACCAAGCTACACCCAGGATGACGTCAAAGTCCTTGCCTTTCAAGTCCCACTCTGTCATTACTGTGACCATGAATGAGAACTAGTCGACCTTGATCGTTTCCATCACTTCTCGCGTATTCGTCATAGATGACCACTCGTTGTCATACGCAGCAATGCGCACTGACATGTTGCGAATGACGTTGGTTCCCAACCCAACTTGACAAAGTGAATGCGTCGCTCCAGAATCCAACAACAACTTCACATAATTGCCACTTATTACACCCGGCTTAATCATCAACTCTGGTGACTTCTTCCCAGCTTCGGGTTCCACTTGAACAACCGTTCCCACAGTCCCCTTGTCGTCGTTCACTTCCTACAAACAAGATGCACTCAACATCATCGTTCGACACTTGCTCCTGGACTTCGAGGTTGTTCTGGTGGCTGGGTGGTGCCTGCCCTGATATCTTCTTCTTGGGTTTCCGACATTCTGTCGCGATATGCCCCAAAATCTGAGAGTTGTAACACCGAATCTTGCTGCTTGCATCTTGACATTGTCCACTTCCATGTCTGTGGACACTTGCGACTCCAAACGCGATACATGTCCTTCGCGCTGGTCGCTTCCATAGTCCGTCCGATTCCATCGCTTCGGCTTGTCGGGACGCTTCATCGACGAGATTGAAACAGAATGGGCACGTTCATACTCAAACGCCGCCTTGATCGCTTCAGACAAGGTCTTGCTTTGACGGTACTTCACTTCCCAGCGGGTCTTCAATTTTAACCCTCGAATAAAGAACGTCACCTTCTCCAGCACTGACATCTCCTGCACATCCGTGCAAACACGACGGAACTTCTCGATGTTCTCGACTAAGTCTTTGCACCCCTTCTGCTGCAACGCAAACAGACGGTCACGTAGCCGCTCTTGCAGATCGCTCGGTTCGAACTCTTCACGCAAACCGTGTTCGAACTCCGCGAGTGTCGTAAACCCATGGCCTTGCGACGCTAGCTCTTGATACCACGCAGCTGCTTGCCCTTGGAGGTTCGCCACAACCATCGCTAGACAGCGTGCTTCAACCGCTTCGTTGGTTTCGTACTTCAAGTTCTTCGCCACAAAGAACGTCTTGACTCGGTGGACTCAGTGGATGTACAAACCGATGCTCTCGTTCAAATGCCCATGGTACACTGGCATTGAGAGTCCCTCAACACGCCGTTCCGTGTCATGTAGTTGGCTTCTATCCTGATCGCCGTTACTAGACACAAATTGATGTAGCGCTGCTTGCATGTCCTGCTGCGCCTTCAGTTGATTCTCCTGTTGCTCTTGTTGATTTGCCAACACTTGCTCGTGTGCTTGGGTTTGGGATTCCAGCAGTTGTTGGATCATCTGCTGATGATGCTCCATAGTCCCAACTAGCCTCGCAAACACTTCCTCCATGATTTCGATTGGGAAAAAGTTTTATTACAGGCTCGCTAGGTATGTTGTTTCCCATGTCAGTGCCAACACAAACAACCAAATGGGGGAGTGCCGACTCCCTGCAAACCGCACACTTGATTGACTTGATGTTACCACGGCGTTGCAGAACCAAGAGCGAGATTCCGGTAGTTGGCTGGGACAGGTGTTCTGTTTTCTACGTCCTAGTACTATTAGTAATACTTCTAGTAATACTATTCCTGTTCGTGTCGGTTCGCCAAGGGTCGGCACCCGGTGGCCTCGGTTGATGACCACCTGTGTTATGGCGGGACTTGTATTAAGTCGCCCACCACAACACACATCCCAAGCCATGTTCCGCAGGACACTCTTGGGCCTCGCTAATTCTTCGCCCTCGCTCGCTTCATTGCCTTGCGCAACGCATCGCCTTCGCTCGCTGTCTTCACGCCTTCAACGTAGTTCTTCACCACAGTCGAGCATTCATGCATGAGCTTCTGCAGCGGTTCCCATGAGGACTCGATATCTTCAAACCCTTCCCAAAGCACTTCCAGCATGAAATCTTTCACATCCGGAACAAACTTGTGTCCCGCGATGGACTTGACCTTCAGCATGGTCCCTTGCTCGGAAACGTGTTCGAGGATCTCTTCGGTCACTCCAAAGCTGTCTTCGGCGTAGAGCTTGACTCTTGATGCGTGTGCTTCCCGCAGTTCACGAGTCACCAAGTGCTCCAAAACGACGGAGAATTCGCCCACTTCCTTGACTCGGTAGGGGCCCGTCCAGGTTACGAGCAGCTTGGGGTGATAACGTTCGTCGACGCGGAACCAGAGCACATAGTCGCCCTCGCTGACATTGCATTGTTCGTATTTCTCGGTCGCTTTCGTCGCTTTCGCCGCACGCATCGCATTCTTGTCTAGGACTTCTTTGTGCATGCCTTGCAGGCTAGCACGCAGCTTGTCCAAGTTTTTGGGGATGTCCTTGACCGTCCAGTCGCTCTCTCGGAGTTCCTTGTTCATGCCCACCAAGATGACATCCAGGGGAGTCGCCAGGTTTAGAGCCGTGAACAGCTGCATCGGTGATTTGCTCGCCAGTGATGCTGCCGGTGTTTGGTTGAGGTTGGCTTGGACCACCGGCAATAGGTGGTCCCATTCTTGTTCGGCTAGCTGGTACACTCGCAGCATGACCCGCATCACTTGGAGGATGTCGCGATTCATCCGCTCAACCGTTCCATTGCGCCAGGGGCAGTAGGCCAAGGTTAGGTCATGATGGACCTTGAACTTGTGGGCTAGCGCCTTCATGGCCACGTTTTGAAATGGGTTCCATGGTCACTGACCCAGACTCGTGGCATTCCGAACCGCTTCGTCCAGTCCACCAGGGCATTCACACATAATTGGCTCGTGGGTCCATCGCATGCAATGAGCTCGCAGTAGTGGGTAAGGTCGTCTTTGAATACTTGGCGCCGCTGAACGCTTCGCCCATGTAGAGGTAGTCGAAGTGAATTCCTTCGTTGCGCTCTTTCGCGTGCCATCTCGGAGCATACGGTCGATGGACCACCCTTCCCCCTTTTACATGAGGGCACAACAAGCAGCCACGAAGGAATTCACTGGCCCTGTCGGCCAAGTGGTCGATATTGAACAGGCGGCGGATAGTAGCCACCAGCGCTGCATATCCACGGTGTCCGGCGCTGCCGCAGTGGGTAACGACCATGATCCGTTGGATCAGGTCATTCGCCGCACTCGGTATCCATAGCCGCTCGTCCACTTGCCACAGTCCGTCCACCACAGTAGCTCGCTTTGGTTTGGTTGCGCCATGCTGGACGGATGTCCACCACACATGGCCACACAAAGTCCTCGTCCAGCGGCCGCAATTTCGGTTGTACCGGTGGGGAACTTTGCGTGTTTTGACTTTCTTTGACCAGCCATGGCCCCGACGTATTTTGACCCGCTTGGTCGCTAGACTTGGTGTCGGCTGACCCCAACGGCTCATCATATCCGCCCAAAGGTTGTGGATGCCGTCGATGTGTATGATTTCATAACGATAGCCGCCAATAATGGCAACCCATCTCATGAGTTTGCCGCATGTGTGCGCCTTCCATTCTTCGCCCGGGGCAAAGACATGGATGAGCTTCTTGTGGTCACAGTACATCTTGAACCCCGTAGGTCGCATAAGCATGTAATTGAGCTTCTCGCACGCACGCGCAATAGGGTAGGCTTCCTTTTCGATGACTGACCACGCCTTCTGGGCGCCCGCAAACATCCCCGAATGACACAAGAGCAGTTCGTGACGTTGTTCTTGGACTGGGCTGTCATCATCGAATGCCACCACTTGAGTTACCACAAT